TTCATGCTGGTGCGGCAGACCATGTTGTTCCTGGAGGACCAAATCCTCTTCACAACTGAACATATATTTTTTGGGTTTCCCAATTTCCACCCAGTGTCAGGTATCCACATTGGAGCCCGACTAAATCTTGATTCGCGCCAGAAAGTCACCTTTGGTTAAGGATGAAGGAGTATTTACCACTCCACTACAACCCTTGTTGGTCACAACTGAACATTTATACTTGTCTTTCGTTTTACGATACATAGAAATTAGAATATTACTGTTCTGTTTGCATTGATGTACTATACTTGCCCAATTATTATGTTATGTACAACTTGATAAATGGAATTGATGTTTTCTTTATCAGCCAACTTTTTTAGATGTTTTTTGACAATTATGCAGTTCACTTGCAAAAACTAGTTATTGGTGCTGTTTATTTATACTGCTGCAACAAAATACCAAAAACTCTTTAGTAATGTTGCTTGAAAAAAGATAACAGAGGAGTACTCTTTAGTTGAAATGATCCTTAATTATGTACGGAAAAAGTGATAATTTTAGTACTTCTTATATATCACGTTATCGAAATAGTCCTTAATATATATATCACGTAAACGAAATAGTCCTTAATATATGAAAAAAGTGATCATTTTAGATCTAAACCGTAATTAAGTTAAGGGTGCAAGTAAAAATTGCAAAGTTTAACCAACAACTCACGTAAGAAAAGAAAAACTACCTTTTCCCTCCCCAATACATCAAGGGATCATTTCGACTGGTATACATAAATGACTAAAATGATCACTTGTTACCATATATTAATTACTATTTCGATTACGTGATATATATAAAAGATAAAAATAGTCCAACCCCATACGTTAAGGATCATTTTCTCACAGAAGGGGTTCATATACTTCTTGCAGATCAAATTATTATTTTTTTGGTTTTCTATTTGGTGTTTGGAGTCCACGGGAGCTCCAACTAAATTCAGATCACGCACTGCAGGGCCTATTTGGGAGTGACGCTCCCAACATGATTTTCTCCGTACCTAGAATCCAAACTTGAGACCTCTTATTAAGTACCACCCCCCAAAGGATTTTCTCCGTACCCAAAGTCCGAATCTAAAACTTCTTATTAAGAATAAAAACAGTCTCACATCTGCATCACAACTTATGTTAGTTCCTGTAATAATCGTAACTTGTTTGCTAGCTATAAGAACTTACTAGAACTTGTAGACTAGGAATCTTGCGGTACAGAATATAAAGGTGGGTCATTGTGGCAGTTGAATGATTTTGTAAATTTTATTAGCCATAAACTTTTAATTAAAAAATTGATTATGGAGTTATGTAATTAACCATTATATTAATGATCCCCAGTCATCATCCATGCCATTGTCACAGTTCATAGCATAGCAACAATACAGATGAATGAAGACACAATACAAACAAACAAGTCAACTCCATTCTCTAAAATTCGAGCCATAAAATCAATCATTAATACTTTTAATAGGATTGACTGCTTATCTCACACTCCGCATAATTTTTCTCCAATTCTGCGTGAACGCGAGATATTTCAACGCTCCCTTACGACATATATCAGTGAAAACATTAAGCAAAATATTGATACAACATCAGACTTGTGGCCACGTTGATTAATGACGTTGTACTGTCATTATCTGTTTTTTAAACATTATTAAATTATTGAGCAGCCTGCACAAGATGCCACATTATCAGCTTGGCGTTTCTAATTAAGAGTTGATAAACCATTATGTATTTGGATTAATTTAATAAACCAATTTTTAATAATAATATATTCATTTCTTTGAAAGTCTTAACTCACAATAATGACAAACTATGATTCCAAGTTATTTTTCCATGCTCATATAGATACATCATGTACGGCAAAGAAAAGAAGACCTTTTTATTTTCTTTATTTTTATTAATAATAATAATGTGACCTTATGATGTTTGACAAATGAGTATACGTATACATCGTATATACATTGATAATGTAATAAATTTTTATATCAATCATATTATTTAATATGTTATAAGATTTATCTATAATGTATCTTTTGTACGGTCAAAATAAATACGAGTTTATTTAATCGTTTTAATTAATGGGGTTGTTGAGCACCAAACCAAGTGATTGGACATGGTTGTGTTGGTTATGTAAAGGTCAACTCCAATTACTTGCAAAATGCTTGTTTGACTTTAAGCAAAGCTAAACCATTTTCTTAAAATTCTAAGATTTCTTATAATATTTTTTTCTAACTAAACTTTTCCATTTCTCTATATAAATAGATATTCAACATTAATAATCCAAGTTCCATCATTTAGAAAAACCCCTTTCAATAAAAATGGGGATTAGATCATTTTTGTTATTGTTCATGATAACTTTGATAATAATTTTCTTGGGAAATGTCCAAATATGCAGCTGCAAGGGAACATATTATGATGAAAATGAAGAAAGAATAAGAGTCAAGTTCTATTCAACTTTTTTCAGGTACTTTAATACAATTCCTCATTATGCAAAAGAGAAGAAATTGCACATAGTATCAAGGAGATTAGTCCCTAGTGGACCAAACCCTCTTCACAATTGATCTTGATCCAATCAGTTCCAAATCAATATTTCAAATACTGAAGTTTGAACAAACTCTAAATAAAGAGCCAAAGCCCACACGTCTAGTCTGTTAAGACACCACCGTTATCAAGTAAATATTATTGTCATGGTATTTGTTAGTAGGTGGTTGGTGCAAAGATCATCAAGTTTACTTTGTAACTACGTAAGAAATCAAGGATTCTTGCTGATGAAAATTGGTAGTATTAGATAGACTAGAAATGTATACAGTTTTTCAGTTATGTATATATATTCATGATATCAAAATTTTCAAAAGCAGAATAAACTGTATGGACTAAATTTTCCTTTACTTTTAAGGGGAACTTTCACAAATAGCCACCGTAATAAACTTTATTATGCTTCATAGCTATAGTTTGCATATTTACGGGTTGTAGCTACAGTTTAAGTTGTCTCGTTTGTATAATTCGCGGGTACATTTGTATAATTCAGTTATTTTTGTAAATTCGAAATAACTAATGTATACAATTACAAACATCAGAAGTGTAAACAATTATACAAATTATATTACACAAATTCCGAATTATATAAAAGTTATACAAATTTCGAATTATACAAACGTGCGAATTATACAAAACTAAAAAATTGAGCCACGTAATTATAGCTAAAAGTAGGTCACGAATTGTAATTAAGACAAATTATAGCTATGTTAACTAACTAACTAACTAGTATATATTTGCTTATACGCGTAATTTTCCCTTACTTTTATATAAATATATTGTAAGACCTTTATTATTACATTAAATTTCCTTTTTGATGTACGATTAAATCGTGAAATGTATAGCATGTCTTGATAGCTTTGGTCACACAAAAGAGGAAACGACTGTCAACTGGTTTATTCATACAGTCGAAATATATACAATAAATACAGTATTAGTGTATGTATTGTATATAGGAATGTATATTATCCTCCATATGTGATTTTTTTAAATATATATATACACGTATTTCTAAATTATAGGCACAATATTTGTATTTACGCACAGTATATATAATATATCAATGTATATACATTGAAACTATATGCACGCTTATACAATGTATACATTATTGTTTGAAAGAAATAGTCACACTTGAAGAAAAAAAAATCCACTATTTTCTTTACAAAAACATTTGTTAGTCACACTATTTCTTTTTTATCCTTCCTATCAGCTTCCATCCTTTTTTTATTCTTCGGTGACTTGAACCACAACCTTAGAGTTGAACATAAGGGTGTTTACCATCCAAATAACGGTCATTTATAAAAATTTCTTCGAAAAAATTAACTCTAAAACCATTGGTCGAATAAACAAGCAAAAATGTCCAATTTTGGACCTCAACTATTTGATATTTGCTTAATTTTTTTCTTCTTTATTTAAAAAAAAATTATGATTAAAATATTTTGGGTAGGGAAAAAGAGAGGAAAGAAGATAGTGGGGGGGGGGGGGGGTTTTTTACCCC